TCTTGCAGACCTTCTCCCCTACCCCGAAGATGACCACTCTTTGGGTACTGCTGCACGTCGCCACTCAGCGTGACTACGAGCTTCACTCTCTTGACTTCAACACTGCTTTCCTACAAGGCAGCCTCCAAGAGGAGATCTGGCTGCGCCGCCCACCTGGCTTCACTAGGTCGTTTCCTGCAGGTACCCAGTGGAGCCTCCGGCGACCAGTCTACGATCTGCGCCAGGTGCCTCGCGAGTGGCACGACAGACTGAGGACGACTCTTGCGGCTCTTGGTGTGAAGTTTAGAACGAGAATGAATGACTAAGGAATGAAAGTGATACAAATATGAAACCCTAGAATTGTGTACCCCTTAGTGTCTAACCCGCTACAGCCTACACAGGCTAGATCATATAAGTTTGACACACCCCCATAGGCAAAGTGGGGGAGAACAAGGGGTCACAAGACCAGTCAAGCAAAGCAAGGGAAAGCAAGCTCAGGGTGGATCACAACGTCACCACACATTCTGAGCACAAGTCAAGGCCACAAGGCCAGTTCACATGCATGATTACACATGTAGGCTGTTGCCGCTGTGCTTAGTCCTGGGCCTCCCAGTGTAGGGGGGTGTCAGTAGATCTGCACTGTGGATGCCCGATTGATCCTGAAGAGGGTTACAGGCGCGTTCGCCTGGGGGGTTATGGGCGCACTGACCTGCTACTGAAATAAGCCCTTTTATCCCAATGGTCTAGTGGTTGGGATTCTGACATGGTATCAGAGCGAAGGTCTCGGGTTCGAATCCCGGTGTATGCACTTCGGGTATCCCAGTGCGGGGGGGTGTCAGAGGTCCACTGGTGATCCCCGATTGATCCTAGGGAAGGGTTACAGGCACGTTGGCCTGGGGGGTTATGGGCGCACTGACCCGCTACTTAAACAAGCCCTTTTATCCCAATGGTCTAGTGGTTGGGACTCTGACACTTGGGTTTGCTTCTTCTACTGCTGACCCGTCGCTGTTTCTACGCACTGACACTTCGCTGCCGCCGTTCTACATCCTCGTGTACGTCGACGAATTGGTCTTTGCCACTGCTGAGACTGCTGGACTGGCCCACGTGAAGTCGGAGCTGCAGAAGAGACACACGTGCACAGACCTGGGCGAGCTGCGCAGCTATCTTGGCTTGCAGATCATCCGGGACAGAGCACGGCTCACCATTACCTTTACTCAGTCACACATGGTGCAGCAGGTCCTTCAGCGCTTCGCCTTCCAGTACTCCTCGCCACAGGCCACTCCTCTGCCTACGGGTCACTCGCTCTCAACTCTGCCTTCCGATGAGTCCGTAGAGCCGAGTGGCCCGTATCCAGAGCTTGTGGGCTGCCTCATGTACATGATGACCTGCACTAGACCTGACCTTGCTTACCCTCTTAGCATCGTGGCACGCTACGTTGCGCCCGGAAGACACCGACCAGAGCACGGGAAGGCCGCTAAGAGGGTGATGCGCTACTTGTGCAGTACGTGGGGCATGGGGCTCGTGCTTGGATTACAGGGTGCAGTTGTCCTCACTGGTTACGCAGACGCTTCTTGGGTTGACGACTTGGCTACGCAGCGGTCGTCACAGGGTTACACCTTCAGCCTTGGCTCCGGTTCTGTTTCGTGGCGGTCTACCCGCTCGTCTTCTGTTCTCAGCTCCAGCTGTGAGGCTGAGATCTACGCAGGGGCCATGGCTGCACAGGAGTTACGTTGGCTCACCTACCTGCTGACCGACCTGGGAGAGTCGCCTCGTTCTCCTGAAGTTCTGTACGTCGACAATAAGGCCATGATTGCCTTGTATCAGGAGCACAGATTGGAGCACAGAACGAAGCACATCACTCTGCATTACTTCCTTGCTCGAGAGTTAAAGCAGCGTGGTCAGCTTCGTCTTGCTTACATGGCCTCTCGGGCCAAGACTGCTGATATCTTCACCAAGGCACTTCCGCCTTGTGATCATCAGCGTTTCTGTACTGTTTTAGGCCTTGTGCCTACTTGGCCTCACTTGCTCACTTCTTGACTTTGCTTGTACTGTGATCTATATACTTATACCTGCATGCTTCCATTTGCTTGTGCTCAGAATGTGTGGTGACTTCGTTATCCACCCTGAGCTTGCTTTGCCTTTCTTGACTGGTCTTGTGACCTCTTGTTCTCCCCCACTTTGCCTATGGGGGTGTGTCAAACAAATATGCTACTTATTGTGTTGGCTGTAGTGGGGTAGCCCATATGGGGTACAACCCAAATTAGGGTTTGCTACTTGTACCCATCCTGGTGCTAGTTCATACATTCCTCTTCGTTATTCTGACAACCAAGTGTGAGGATTTGGTTCAGGAAAGATAAATCTATTGAATGAATCACCTGGGTACAAGGCGATGCTATATATAGGCTCGACACAAAGGCAGTAACCTGGGTGTTACTAGAAGGTTCCGCGGGTCGCGAAGCGTCCCAAACGGGTCCTTCCCGAATTCGGTAGAAGGCAATTCGGTGGCAACCGAAAAGCCTAGAATTCGTTGCACTCAACGTAGTTCGGTGCCTCGGTGCCTATAGCTATAATAATTATAGTAATAGCAACGAACCTAGGAAATCAAGCAAATGCATGCAAGATAAAATGAAGATAAGCTAGTAATAGCAAAATATAGTCCAGGCAAGCTAGCAAAGCCAGCATAAGCCGTCGTACTCTCACATCAAGTCACTCTTCTGCTGCGCTAGCAGAGTTCGCCCTACAGAGTGCTTGCTAGGTGTTACATGTCATCCAGTCATATCGAGTTGCATGCCTCAATTGTACTCATTTCAATGTTTTCATTGTTCAATGTTCTTTCAACTTGCATAGTGAAACTCTTGCCAAAATTTTCTGTGAACAGAAATAAGAAGTAAGAACGCTAGTGCAAGCTACGATCACCCGCACCGCACAACTTCGTTCCCTCCTCCGTAGTCCACTCCCATTATGTAGTGACTCTCCGCATGCATTCCTTTACTTTTTCGTCAAATACGAGATTGACAAAAGGAAAGTCAAACCCTCCTACTGCCCGACTCGCGATATGGCACTGGATTTTCTGACGAAGAAACTGCCATGTCAGAAGTTTTTGCACTACGCGGACCTTTGCGGAGTCGTGAAGAAATACTACGTGGCTCACATTTACGAATGAAGAGTGTTGGAATATCTGAAGGGTTAGAAAGGCATTCCCAAATGTTTCATCCTAGCGCATCGATTCATAACAGATGAGCGCCCGTTCCAGTATCGAGTTAGTTAGTGTAGAGCACGCAGCGAAGGTCAACAATCGTGACTGTTAATCATCTCTCAATTGTCATTGGATGTTACACATTGCAACACAGTAACCGTAAAAGGACCGCAATAGTCACTGCAACTGTAGCGATGCCTGCTTAACAGTTAATAAGGGAATGTATTCCTCAGAGTACATGGCTAGCTTAGACAGAAGCTGTAGAAATTTTTTATAATGCTCTGTTTAATCATGTAAATTTTCAATCGATAGCAAGCTGACTTCCGCTGTCTTTACTCTTTCTTGAATTTTTTTTCCATCCATCAAAGATCCTTCATTTATATCAACATTGTTGGCCGAATCAGCTGACGCTTGGCCCTCAGTGTACTCTCTTAAGTGAGAGGGTTTAGGATTTGTACTTCCTTGCACTTATGATAGTTTTAGAACTCTGTTATGGGGTATGGGATTGATGCAGCGAAACTGGCGAACTTACGGATGGGCGACTTACCTCCGCAAAACGTCGCGCGCGTCAGTTACAGAGCAGTCCCGTTTCGCCCAGTATTTTCGTTTCGCGGAATCAACAGTTGCACTCAGTCGAGGAGTATATTTCTCGGAGCCTCAATATTTTGCCGGCGTACGTCTGTTTCTTCCTGGGTTCTTGTTTCGTCCAGGCTCGAAAGTGATCGTGGGCACATCGGAGGCAGGATGTTGGGCATGGATGATGAGTGCCATGACGGGGTCGGCCGGCAATGGGCCAGGTCCCCACCCAACCCGTCGGTGAGGTCCAACCATTGGCTACAAAATGTACGAGAGCTAGCTCTCACCCTTCAGCTGAGCATCTCGGGCCTACACGATAGGGGGAAAGGAGGGAAAGCTAGCGTGACTGCCGCAGTTATTCCGCGCGTCGTCGGTATCGAGCGAGCATGGGGGCAGCAGCAGCACCCTTATCGGGCTCCTCGTCGTTTTGCCTTCGTCGCCGCATAGTATTACTACCTTATCGGAATTCAAAGGTGGTTTTGGAGTCGACTCAAACCTCCCATCACCTCTGCCTCTCGCGGCCCGTGCTGCTCCTCGCCTTCCTCGTCCTCCTGCTCTTCCCCATCCCAACTCTCGCTCTGCCCTTCGAACCCCTCAACCACACGCCACGTGACGGCGGCCTATCACACTCCGCCCCGTCAAAAACCTCCCCGCTGCGGCTACTCCCACCTCCGCCCGTTGCCGCCGCCGCGCCGCGGCTGGCCGTGGACAAAAATCGCCTCAGTGTGCCGAGTCGCATGCGCGGAGGAAACTTATTCAAGAAGTTTTTGCAGGGATAGCATTCCAGCCCGCTAACCGACTGGGATAAAAGGGCATGTTTCCATAGTGGGTCAGCGCACCCATACCCCCCCAGGACGACACCTGTAGCCCTTAGGGAGACCACTTTGGGCCATTCCAGTGGCCACTTCCAACACTCCCCTCACTGGGAGGGCCCACCACTAGGGCACAGGAAGTCGCCAACAACAGGAATCGAACCCCGGTCCTCCACGCTCACCGCACCATGCAGGGATAGCATTCCAGCCCGCTAACCGACTGGGATAAAAGGGCATGTTTCCATAGTGGGTCAGCGCACCCATACCCCCCCAGGACGACACCTGTAGCCCTTAGGGAGACCACTTTGGGCCATTCCAGTGTCCACTTCCAACAGTTTTTGCAGCAGTCCGCACCGCGCGACGCAAGACAACTGCTAGGAAATGGCGAGTGGGCGGGTGGAGGAAGGCGGCAACAGGGGGAGGGCGGCGATCATGATATGCAGGTTACCGCGGCGCTGAAGAGGAGGTGGCGACTGGGGGAGGGTGGTGGTGACATGCACGCGAGGCTGGCACCGCTGTGGGACATGGCGAGCCGCGTGGCGGTCAACGGGACTGTCGTCATTGTGTCCGCCAATGCAGGCGAGTGACATGGTGTCAGCAGGAGCTTCTTACTATGAGATAATCTGTTGCATTCAAGTTTATACTTTAACGTGCCACGTGACAGTCAACAAAGTGTTGTCATTGTCTCCGCCAACGCAGGGAGTCATATGGCATCGTATCGTATCGTATCGTATCATATCGAATCGTATCAAATTGTATGGCCTCGTCGTATCGTTTCAAACGTATTGCATCGTATCAGATCGTCGTATCAGATTAAATCATATCGCATCATATCAGATCGTCGTATCGTATCATATCATATCAAATCTGTATCAAATCCCCCCCCCCCCCCCCCCCCCCCCCCTACCCCTCTTCCCTTCCCCGGTTCTCCCAACCAGGCCACGTGGAGATGCTGGAGAACTGGGCGCTGCATGCAGACAAGGTGGGGCTGCGAGGGCACTCCATCATCTTTGCTGCGGAGAGGCAGTGCTTCGACTATGCCAACCAGAAATGGCCTGGGCAGGTGGGTCTTCAGGCATGGATGAGTCAAGAAGTTGCGGGGGCAGGTGGGTAGACAAGAAGTGGCCGCTTTCGCCTCTCACTGCTCTCCTCCCATGCCCACCTTTCTGCTTCAAAACCCCCTCCCATACTTGGCCCCCTTCTCCCCGCTGCTGTCCCTGCTGCTGCTGCTATTCCTGCGGCGTCCCCCCTGCCCCCCACAGGCACTGCTGCTGGACTTAGAGGACGAGTTCGTGCAGGACGATGCAAAGGTGGACCTGTCGCAAGAAATCGGATACCATTCCGCGGGCTTCCTCCGAGTGACCTCCCGCCGGGCCGTGTACATCCTGCACCTGCTCGCCTTTGGCTTCTCCGTCCTCTACTCCGATATCGACCTCGCTCCTGCAAAACCCCCTCCCATTCTTCGCTCCCCTCTCCTCCTCTCCCTCCTCTGCCTCGCCTCCTGCCGCTTATCCGCCGAACGAATTCGACGTGTTCATCACCGCAGATCAAGCCTGGATGGACGGCCCAGATCACACGGTCAGTCTGACCGAGCCGGGACTCCCAACGGTTATGTGCTCCTGCTTCCTCTTCTTTCGCCCCACATTGGGAGCCAAGGCGCTTGTTTCCCTGTGGGCATACAACATGGTGAAGAGAGGAAGTTTTGTTGCCAACGAGAACGACCAGCACCACCTCGGCCATGTCATCACGATGATGAGAGAGCGAGGGATTGACGCCAATATCGGCGTGCTGCCCGGGAAAAAATTCCCGTCGGGCGAGTTGATGAAAAACAATATGACGAGTTTCATGGAGATAAAGGCGGGGGTGGTGATGGTGCATGCCAACTATGTGGTGGGGAAGCGGAGTAAAATTGACCGGTTGATTGAGGCTGGGGTGTGGCTGCTGCCACCTCCGGCAAAAGAGGGAGAGGAGGAGGGGCAGGGAGGCGAGGAAGGAGAGGAGGAGATGGAGAGGAGGTTGATGGGATTGGCGGAGTGGGTGCCGTCACATTTGGATGCGGTTTTGAGGGTGGCGCCTGGTGTGGCCAGGGATGGGCCGCTCATTCTCACCGTGCTCTGCCATGGTATGGAACGAGTGGGTGGGTGGGTGGGTGGGTGGAAAGGCCAACATGATTGGTGCAAGTGAGTTTTGCGGCGACTGTGGGTGGTGCACGTGGTGTCACCTTTACATGTGGCATGCATGCTATGGTGGTTGCATGCCTGTTCCAACCTCCAAGCCTCACAGCATCACTCTGACCCGGTCGCCGTTTGCCTTTGTTTCTCCTTCCCATACCTGCCATGCCTGCATGATGTCATGTGCCGCGATTGCGCCCTGTGGTATGGCATGGCATGGCGTTGTGTGGCATGGGATGGGCACAGCAAGCGAGTCGGACCTGTTCAGAAGTTGGCTGGGGTCCATTTCAAAGCTCGGCCTCTCAACCAACTTCCTTGCCTCTGTTGCCAGCCAGGTGAAATTCTGTTGCCAGGCAGGTGAGCTTCTGTTGGCATTCAGGCGAGCTTCTGTTGGCATTCAGGTGAGCTTCTGTTGCCCTTCAGGTGTGATTATGTTGTGCATCCGGTTTGTCCATCACATGAGATGGCGACCTGAATGGCACCACCTGAATGGCACCACCTGAATGGCACCACCTGAATGGCACCACCTGAATGGCACCACCTGAATGTCACCACCTGAATGTCACCACCTGAATGGCACCACCTGAATGTCACCACCTGAATGGCACCACCTGAATGTCACCACCTGAATGGCACCACCTGAATGGCACCACCTGAATGTCACCACCTGAATGTCACCACCTGAATGTCACCACCTGAATTTGCGCATGTACCATTCTGCATGCATACACTAATCCCGTTCAAACCTTAACAGTAATCCCAGCATATCTGCTCTGCCTTCCACCCTTCTGCAGAAGTGGACCTGCAGGCCTGCATGAAGCGCATGGGGGCGCGCCCTCATTTCCAATCCCTGGCCACCCGCATTTCTCTCCGATACCCACCTCATGCGCTTCCCCCCTCCCCATTTCCGATACCCACCCCATGCGCCTTCCCCTCCCCCCCCCACCAAGCTTCCGTTTTTACTGTGTGACCCATAAAGCAGCTTTGTGCACTGCCCCTCCCTGTACCAGCATACCCTGCCTTTCCAGGCTGGCCTCCCCGTATTAAACAAGATCCCCCTCCCACCTGCCCCCTCCCTGCATTCTCGTGCCTCACAGGTTAACTAACTCTTTCCTCCTCGTCCCGCCCTGCGGCCCCCTTGCTGCAGGTGCCACTGCGGCTGTACCTACTACTGATCCCAGGTTCCCAGGTTCCCTCAAGTAATGCCATTCGCCTGCCCGCCTCTGCTGCTTCGTTAGGTTTGGAGTCGTCTCAGAAGTATAATTCCTATCTGCTCATCCCGCCCGGCTGCTCTCCAAATGGTGCTTGGGGGGTACAATAGAACCATCAACCCCGTAATGCAGATAACATCCACACCTCCTGTTCTAGCCTATGTACGCTGCATAGAAATATTACAACACTCCCTTCGTCCCACCCTGCTGCACCCGCCCTTCAGGTACCTCTACCTGCCAACGCTTCTGCTCGCCATGTCATTCCCCAGCAACTGCTGCTTCTATCGAGACATCTCAAAGGTCTTCCCCTTCCCTGCTCTTCTCCCCCAACTGCACCCTTCCCTCAGGTACCTCTACCTGCCAACGCTCCCTCCAGTAATATTATCCGCCAACCTGCCTCGGTTGCTTCTACTGGCGGCAGTGGGAGTGAGGAGAGGCCAGGGGAGAAGGCAGAGGAGAGGGACAGGCTAGCGTGCCTGCTGATGCCAGCACTGCTGGCCTCCCGCCTCCTTGCTGCCAACATCACGGTGCTGTTTAGGTGGGTGTGGTGCAATTCCGGTGGGTGTGAGCGGTTGTGGTGGGTGTGGGGGCTAAGTGAGTGGGCGCGTCTCCCCAGTGCTCGTCACTGGCAGCACATCCAAAGCTTCATCTATCATGTTTTTTGTTGTTGTTTTTTTTCACCGTTCAATGGTTGGCTCATCTTGCACGTTTATCATCCACATGACAGTGAATATTACATCCGTGATTCTCTTGACCATTGCTCTTGCACTTTCCATTCCACTTCCCTTCCGCTCATCCTTCATTCTTTCCACCAGAAAAAAAGAAAAAAGACAAATTCAAAACCAAACGAGTCATTCGGATTTCTAACCTTCTTTTTTACACCTTCTCCTCTCTTTTGATCCATTCAAATCTCCTCCTTTCCCACCCCCGGGCACACCAGTGACCCGTCAACTGCATGGCTTCGTAACCCCCTGCCTTTCCTCCCAGCTACCTTCTCTGTCCTCCTCCCCTCCACCTCCCACTCCCCCACCCCCCCCACCCTCGACACCACCACTCCCACCCCTTTCAACCGATCCCACCTTGGCTCTCTCTCCCCCTGGCTGCTGCTGCTCCGCCCCTCCTCTCCTTCCTCCTCCTCCTCCGCTGACCCCCCTTCCTCTCACGCCCTCGCCCTCTCCTGGGAACTACACGCACTCAAGTCTCTGTCGAAAGAACCATCTCTTTCAGACAAGGGGGAGGGAGATGGTGGGAGCACACCCCTTGCCTTGTCTGTCGCAGTGCAAAGTGCTTTCAACCACGCCATAGCAAGTGTGGTGGAAGCACAGGCAGGTGAACGGGCAGGTGAAGGGGCAGGTGAAGGGGCAGGTGGTGAAGGAATCACGATCGGGGTTTTGCCTGCGTTTTTTGTTTTTTCCAAGTGCGGTGGTGTGTGAAGAGAGGCAGTGGGTGCAGCAGCATAGGGAGGAGGTGGTTGCGTTCGACAACAGCTGTGGGCCCGGCATGGAGAGCAAGGTTTCACAGCTCAAGGAGCTGCAGTTGTGGGTGGATGGGTGATGTGTTTGTTTTTTGTTTTTTTTGTCGGAATGGGGGTTGGAGGGAGGGGGGGGGGAGGGAAGGGGGGGGAGGTGGGGGGGTGGGCGAGGAGGGAGGGGAGGGGGGGAGGAAGGGGAGGGGGGGAGGGAGGGGAGGGGGGAAGGAGTGGAGGGGGGGGAGGGAGGGGAGGGGGGGAGGGAGGGGAGGGGGGGAGGGAGGGGAGGGGGGCAGGGGTGGGGTTGGATGAAATACGCTATGACATGAATACATCCACAGTCCTGGGTGATGGCATTTTGGTTTAGCAAAACCTATACTATGAGGGGAGAGGTAGTGGGAGAAGCAGCAGCTGAGAGACCAGGCAGTGGCACGTGAGGCAGCACAGAGAGCAAGGTGTCACTGTTGAAGGAGGGTGGATGGGTGATGCAGGTATGCTGGCGGGATGGCTGTTTAACTTACTTAACCATCTCTACACCGTATGAGGAAAGGCAGTGCGTGCAGCGTAGGGATGAACTAGTGGGGTTTTGTCAAGAATGGAATGATGATTTCACTAAGGTTGGTTGGGGTACATAAACCTCATCCTAACTGTTGCACCCCATATGACATACATCACTAAGACTAAAACATCTGACACACCCCCATAGCCTAAGTGAGGGGTGTCAAGCAAAACCAAAAACGTACGGTCACAAGACCAGTCATAAAGCAACAAAACTCAGGGTGGATCACAATGTCACCACAGCACAAGCAAAAGAGCCACAAGGCCAGTTCAAAAGTACATTGAGGTATATATAAAGCGTACAAACAAAGCAAGTAGAGAACCCAAGACCTACCTTACCGTCATCACCCGGATATAAGACAGTGTTGAATAGTAGACAGGGGTTGTCTATTATAAGGGTGTTTCTTATAAACAGGCTAGCCTCATTATAAGACACCTATTTGTGTGTACGAGATAAGACATATGTGTCTTATAATCGAAACTGCAATATATTATAGTGAAAACTGAAGTACCGCGTACATTTTTACCCTTGCGACACGCGAATTCTGCCACGTGGTGACTCACGTACTACCGTATTACCCCGGATATAAGCGCAGGTGCGCTTATAATAAAACTCTGATTTTTAGGGGGGTGCGCTTATAATTGAGTCAGATTTATAAGCGCATGCGCTTATAAAATGACAAAAACAGAAATATGGTTTAAATTCACCAGACTGTACATCTCAGGTGTGCAATTTCAATCGAATCAGAACATTACAGCGTCCCAAATCAGAGAATCGCGCGAAGGCGATTTCTGCCGCCGCACACGGGCGAGGACACGTCACAACGCAGAGGGATGTGTCAAGCTCGCCCCGAACCAATGTACGAGCCAGTCGCACGGAGTCGCTTGCTCGCAGCGCAGAGGCACAGTCGTTCCCGAGCCCCCCCGCCTGCCCCTTTTTCGCTCGCACAACGCACAGGACAGTCGTTTCCAGCGCCCATCTTCCCCCCCCCCCCCTCCCAACAATGTGCTGTCAGTCAGTCAGCTTCACGCGGTTTCGCTTCTCCTGCGAATCGCTCGCCCTCGAGCGAGTCAAACAAAGTAGGAACGGATCTGGACTCGCTGCAAAAAGGGAAATCGTTACTGTATTAATTAGGATTTAATAGCAGAATTATTGATGCGCTTATAATAAGTCAAGGTTTTACAGGGGGTGCGCTTATAATCGAGGATCGGTCATAAGCGCATTGCTCCAGATACAAGCGCATGCGCTTAACATAGGCCTGCGCTTATATCCGGGGTGATACGGTACCAAATTTGCTTCTGCAAGTATTCTCCATGACGTGGCGCCCCGAACAATGGTTGCCGAAGTGGCACCTTAGCAACATCCACACTCATAATGAGAAACTCTTTTCAAGATGTGTGAAAATATTTTAAAGTAGTTTAAAAAAGTTTCCATTTATAAGACTTATAAGACACCCCAAACCTCCCCAAATACAAGATAACCCAAGCATTTTTTTTAGTGTATGAGATAAGACATATATGTCTTATATCTGGGCGATGACAGTAATTGGCGAGAACATGTGTCAACGAGACCTAATTGCACACAACACCTCGGTGGTCACAAGGCGGAAGGGCCTTGGTGAAGATGTCTGCAGTGTTGGCCTCGAACTCCACAAAGTCGAAGCGAGCATGTCCTCGCCTCTGCAACTCTCGCAGAAGAAAGTACCTGACATTCATGTGCTTCACTCTGCTCTCCAGTCGCGGCTCTTGACAGAGGAGAATCGACGCCTTGTTGTCAGTGAACAAGGTCGGTGCAGAGCTCGGCCGCTCACCAAGGTCGGTGAGCAAGAAAGTCAACCAACGCAGCTCCTGTGCAGCCATGGCTTTAGCATAGATCTCAGCCTCAGCAGTAGAGGTCGAGACCGAGGAGGAACGTGTCACGCGTGGACCTCCATGAAACAGCTCCAGACTGTCTCCCTCCAAGAACCAGCCCCACGCCTAGGTACTTCGCCACCCTCATAGCAGCTGTCCAGTGAACTGGACGGTGTCTCCCTGGCGCAACAAAGCGAGCAAGGATGCTGAGAGGGAAGGCGAGGTCCGGGCGAGTACAACTCATCAGGTACATGAGGCTGCCCACAAGATCTGCGTAGGGACCACTAGGCTCAAGCGGCTCGTCAGGAAAGGGACCAGTGAGTCTGTGGTCAACAGCAAGAGGTGTGCACTGTACTATGGAGTGCTGAAGCTCGAACCGCTGAAGGACCTGCTGCACCATGTGTGACCGTGAGAGTGTAATGGTGCGAGCGGCTTTGTCACGCATTGAAGATAGCATGCGTAGATTAAATAGCAAACTATATATAAATGAGTGACCCGTAGCTAGAGCAGAAGCGAGTCCCACTGTAAGGGGACAGGACAAGGGGCACGGCAAGGGAACCAGGCGAGGTGTGACAGGAGGCCTGGAAGAAGGGAAACCAAAGTGAAGATCGGTTGGGAAACCAAGAAGGGAGCAAGTAGGCGGGAATCAAGAGTGACCCAGCCGTTGAGCGCAACAACCGTAAACGTGATACTTAGGCAAAAAGGATTGCTAGGTCCCACAGCTTGTTTGTTTGTTTTTACCTTATGCTGGGAATTTGTCACTTCAAATGCACCAACTGTGTGACACCTAGCTAGTAAAGCCACCCAAGCAAGCTAAAGCAGCATTAGTGGAGAGACTCTGACTAGAAACAAACAAACAAGAAACCAGGACCTATGTCGGACTACATTAGATTAAGATCGGGGTTCAGTTAAGCTCCGCTGAGAGACACGGAAGTGGATTACGCCTAGTTGGAGGGCCAAAGCGACGAACGTCCAAGGCGAGCCAGCAAGAGAAAACCCCCTCGGGTCGCGTCACAGCGCGTCCCCCGTTTACAGGACGCCGCAGCAAAGGCGGAAGGAGGCGCTCACACAACCAGAGCCACAGATGCGAAGAGCAGCGTCCAACCTGGGGCGGACACCTACCGCGAGAAACTGGACCCGGGCAAACCCGGAGCAGGAAAACGTCGGAGCAGACGGGGGGTCTCCCGGCAGGATGCCGGGGATGAGAGGCAGAGAAGCAGAAAGCAGCCAGGCCTGGCCGGAAGACATGGCGCGCCTGCACGGAACCACAAGGAGACGGGGCGAGCTGGTGGTCAGCCGGGAAGCAGAACGCAGGCAAACGGTCTCAAGGCAAGCCAGTCCTGCACGCCAAGGATGGAATCGGGCGAGCCTGCCGAAAGTGGAAGTCGCGGAGCGGTTCAGCGGCATCCCAGGAACAGGGCCCACTCTGAAAAATTACATAATGCAACTGGAAACTGTGCAGTATTGTTGGGAACGGGACGGCTTCGATCCAACGGAATTCTTCAGGAAGATGGTCAGTACCTTGTCCAGAGAGGTAGAAACCTTCTACCGAATGGTGCGAAAAGATGTTCTAGAAGAGCTGGAATGCGGAGAAATAGTGGATCCTACGGAGCGGTTCCTATAGCTGCTGAAAAAAGAATTCATGGGGCAGACCAGAGCACGGATCGAAGAGTTCAAGAACTTCAGGAGGGGCAAAGAAAAATCCCTGCTCTCCTACTATAGCTGACTCAGAGAGCTTGCGGAGGACCTCGAGAACCACGAGCACCTTCTAGTGCGGAAGTTTGTGAAGGGTTTGGAGGAAGAATTGAAGGGAGCGGTGCGCGGAGCAGTGTACGCGGTGGGAGCGAACATCACTCTGAAGCAAGTTTACGAGCTGGCCAAGAGAACCGAGCACGCGCAGCGACTGCTGGACTTAGACGAGGCAGACACCAGGAGCAAGCCGCGCGTAGCATGAGCGGCCGCGGCCATGCAAGGAGCAGAAGCAGGAGAGATGGCCAGAGGGGACAGCAGGAAATGTCACGAATGCGGAGAAGAGGGGCACCTGAGGAGAGAATGTTCCAAAGTACCGACATGCGAGAAATGCGGAAGGAGAGGGCACAAGGGAAACGACTGCTGCTCCCGCACGACGAAGGAAGCCGGGCAGAGCATGGCAGAATTGGAAGCAGAAGTGAAGAAGCTCCTGAAATAGCTGGAGCGAATGCCGATGGTTCCAGAGTGCTCCAGGGCGATGCTGGCGATAGAAGAGATAGACGAGGGAGAGGAAGACGAGAAGGAATTCGAGTGGGAATACGGGCTAATGGCCTACCCAAGAGACAAAAGTGACCTAGACCTGAGGCCGAGGCAAGGAACCAGCAGCTGCAGCAACAGCGGCTCCAGCAGCCGAGAGAGAAGGGAGGGGCCGGCTCGGCGTCAGGTGGACAGCGATATGCGGAGGCATCCGAACGAAAGGCTAGTCTGCCAGTCGTCAGTACTGATAGCAGAACCAGGGGGCATCAAAGTGGGAGGCTTGCCCATGGCACAAGCCGTCATTGATACGGGGGCACACCATGTCTTGATGGGGAAGGGATTGGCAAAGCAACTGAAGCTGGAGGCACCGGGCAAGTTGGTGGAAAGGAGGATACTGCTGATGACGGCTGAAGGAGGAGCACCGAAATGGATGTCGTGCACCAAACAGCCGATAGAGATCATACTGCTACCGGGGACACCGAAGGAGTGTTGTGTGCGGGTGAGGTGCGGAGTCAGCGAGTCCGAAGACTACGATATGCTAGTCGGCATGGACCTACTCTACAAAGTGGGGGCAACCATTTGTATGTGGCAAGAGAAGGTTCTATTTCGAGTACAGTACTGGGACCCCGAGAGTTCAGTGGGCACTCTTCCTGTGAGATTCGTGAAGCAAGAGCCGA